TATATAAAATAATATTAAATTTTATGTCAATTAGAACAGTCCCATATCATTCTACATAAGTTTTGTTTATAGTGCCCCTCACTATTGGTTATGCGGGAAGGGCACTATGACCTGTGCGCGCACAGGAACCTTACAAGTTCAGGTTCTCACCCCAGATCAGCCAGTGTACAAGTTGGCACAGACCTCTGTCACTTGACTTCATCCGGTTCTTCGAGAGGCAAGTGCTTCGGGTGAGCCGCCACGGGTGCACGTAATTAGAATAAATGAAATTTAATTTACTTTTTGTATCGTTTTATGGAGTCGTGCGCCTGGTGGTAAGCGACACGCCTGTCCATAACAGTTGTAGTGCCACTCAGAGCTTTAAATCGAAAAGATTTTAGGGGCACTGCCATTGCGCCAGTCACCCCCTGAGACATAAATTGAGAAGTCCCAAGTCACAAGCAGCTCTACTGCTACTAAAGTTGTGTATTGTTGTCAACAAAGTAATTTAATAAACAGACATGTCTTTAGGAGGCTTTTTATATTTTTCGCACTAAGTGTGTGTACACACACACACACACACACACACACACACACAGTATTGACGCAATGACGATAATAATATTCACGGAAAGCCAATTAAAAGAACAAACTTGAAAACTAATTACTTCTAGCCTCAACTAATTACGTCACCGCAAAGACGAACTTTCAGGGAAGCTCTGGTATTTTCTATTTATTATAAACCATTATTACATTGATTCAGTTCATTAGATATTATTTCAATTGGGTTCTTTCAGCATAAAGTAAATTTATTTATTTAGCTTTTAATTCGCGATAAAACTGGGGGAACAAAAGTAAGTAATTTTTATTACATACAACTATTTTTAAACTTCTGTGAAGTTATCATTGACTTCCAAATAAATGGACGACGGGTCTAATACAAAAACCACGAAAAAAATGTCCCAAGTCAACCTATTTAAACGTAGTGACATGTAAAGGAATATAAAAAAGCTAAAACGTTGAATTTAAATTGTAATGTCATCGCAGTATTGTCTAATTTTGCTTGCTTCGCTGTCAGTCGAACAAACGAAGACTAGAGCGTGAATGACGCTCTGTATACGATTTTAACGCCCTATAAGTTCGGACACTTTTTAGCGCGGACCCGACGTCCATATATGTAATTGTAAGTCAATGGAAGTTATGGAAAATATGCAAAAAAATGCAAGCTCGTACAGTTCTTAGGGAAATATCGTCATTTTTCTTTAAATACGCCACGCGAGGGTCGATGCAAATTCAACGTTTCAAATTGACTGAAACGCCATCCGCAATCAATTCGTCAAACTATCTGAGGCGTGCAATATTTACTGAACAAATCAATAGCGTAGTCGGTAGGTTCAGTGGGTGTGTGGTAGCAAGATCAAGGCTAGGGAATGGTTTCGTATTGCGCTTGCGTCACGGTCAGTTGACGAAATTGTTTTTGTTTTCAATTATACTGTATTATACTACTTGCATAAGAGAACTACAATTGCTTTCTAGGAATGACTAACGAGAATGGCACTTCGATCAAAGCACATAAATGCGTACGTCTACGTCAATGTCTATTCTTATACTTTCGAAATAGATCGAGTTGTGACTCGATGAAATTGAACATTAAATTTTTAACTTGGGAAGTAGCATAGCAGGAAATTGCAGTGCACTCGTTGATATCTAGATTGTCGACTCCAAACTGCTATTAGGCGATACATTGCCCATTTCATAAACGCTGTGATTGATTGGTGAAAAACAGTGCTAATTTACAATTCCCAAGCAAAGTTTTCAAAGTGTTTACCCTAAATTTAATAACGATTTGCATTATTCTTCTTTTGTAAAAATTTAAGTATTTTCTTGCACTTAGCTGGAGAATAATGTTTGTGTAGTGTGTGTGAGTGAAGGTACACAGAAAAACGCTTAGCAACATTCGCAATGCCATAAGAAAATCGCTTCGCATGTACCTGGGTTGTACGTCCAAAGGAGTATCCCTTTCGCATTTATGTGTTAGAAGAAGGAAAACGCACTTTGTATTTATGATTGCATAAGTAAAATACGATTATTCATAAATTAATTGCAATAACGAAAATGCTAAAGGAAAACGTGCGGCTTAATATCATGTTACAAAACTTCGCCAAGTACACACACCAGCACATCAAGCTACACATTGACGTGTCTTGTTCTGTTGCAATGGAGGCGATTTTCGAATAAAAATGTGTATTGATGTGCCGTTGTCCGCACTTTTAAAAGACTTGAAAAAGGAATGTTACCGTTTCCCCACGCAGCTAAGTACGTGTATTTCGAGGAAAGAGAGATAAATGTGCGTTTTCCTTATTATTTATTAGTTTATTATAATCGCTACATCTTCTAAGTCTTGCTGGCGGGTTGGCGGTAGTCCGCACATGAATACCGTGCTGTGCCATGTCTTACATTTGTTCCACGTTGTATCTTACGCATGTAAATATACTCGTAAGAGAGAAAGAAGGAGTGTACGAGTATGTCGGAAAGTTTTTACTATTTCGTGTGGGTAGCAACTGCGTCCCAGTATCGTTATGCTGTCACAATATTTACTGGAGATGATTCAAAACGCTTCAGGTATTTTTAATATAGAAACATTCAGAAAATTCGAATTGTAAACCATTCAAGTTGTCTTTTTCCGAAACTATGTCACATGTCGTAATCCTAGGAAGTCCCACGCAAGTTTACTTTGAAGTACTTAATACTGGCTCTGTTTGCTACGGAATTTTATCATGACTATTTTTCAAGCGATGGATTACTCAGAGTTTCTCCACTATCTCGTAATATGTGAAGTATAGGATATAGGTATAGGTAAACTCGTAAATTTAAAAATGTCACACTGTGGTAATTAATTCCTAAAGTCTTAAAGCCTTATAGGCCGGACCTAAGCACATTCTAATTGTTTATTTAGCATAACTGGCTTTAGTTAGCAGTAACGCGGTTCTGCGCAACTCACAAAATAGCCAATTAACAGCTGACTTATAACATTCGTTTCAGTGTATCATGAAAGGGTTTTGCACATTTCAACTTCTAGCGAATTGCAATAGCCTACGTAATGTGGGTACATTGCAGGCCAGCAGCGAACTTCTGTATAAGACATATGACTAAAAAAAATACAATATAGTGTGGATTATTGTCTCTCTAAGTTTCTAAATTGTATATTCAAGGAACCACAGCGTCAAATTGTTACAGCGTTTACTTATTACTAATTATTTAGTGCTGTAGGTACTTACATTAAACTGAAGACATAGAAAATAATAATTCGTCATTTTAAATAAACTTTCCGAATTAAAATGTTCGCCTTTTATTATTGAGATAGTTGGGTAATTAATGCCTTATCGAATACACTTAAACAGTTCATCGGAATCCCAAGAGACGAGCTAAATGAGCGTGAGCTGGTACCCAAAACGAGATCAATGAAGCCATATTTTTGTAACCGTATCTCTACTCTACTCAGTTAAATTTTATTTTTCAACAACAACTTCTATTACGTAGTAATTTATTAAAATAGTAAAATGATTTTCGGATTAAATGATAGAATTGAGGATTGTGTGTTTGAAATTTATAGGCGTTCTTGAAATAGCCTTTACGAATCAAATGGCAAGGCTGGTTACCAGAGGCTGGCGTGGTCGGCCCTGACATAAGGTGCGTTAATTAGTTGCAAACGTTACTTATCGAGACTACGACACGCTAATAGTAGCTAGAGTTTTCTGCCTATTAGTATATATTTTCACCGTGTGTACCATACACGCGTGTCGTCTACTAGGTTCATCTGTATTGTGCTATCTGCACAGGCGACTTCGAGGTTTTTAGAGGGTGATAGCCAATGTTTACACGCACTTGGCTCAAACAAATTTCTGCAAATTCAGAGAGGTCTCCATTAGTAGCATTAGTTCACGCTAAAGAGAAGAATTAACCATGGATACCATTGCACGTTTTGCACTCACTTTAGGGTCACCATGTAAAAACTCCTGTGCGTAAACAATATTGTTAGGTAGGGCAAAGTACTTATGAGACCTTGATTTAAAGGTTCTTGCACGGCTTCTTCCGTGTTTTCAATTGTGTTGCAGGTTCTACTGAATAGCTACAATGTAAAATCTGAATAATTTGTTCGTGAACACTATCGGTTATCGAAGAGCGACGCACCTATATTTGTTAGTAGGTTGTTTATTGTAATTTGTCATGATTTGAAATGAATAAAAATTATTTAAAGAATCATTTAAAAATACTACAAAAAGAAAGTTCTGTAACATGTACGTAATATTAAATAACGCCAAAAGAAGTGATCACATTTGAGTTTTGGCATCGGTCCAATTCGTGCGCGTGAGGCGAACCTCGCGATTGCGAAAAGTGAAAATTATTTTTGCCGTTACTGAAATCATAACTTCGGGTTGATAAGGGTGAAAATATGTGTTTTTCAAACTTGATTCGTAGAGAAATAAATTGTTTATGCTGAAGCACATAGACGTTATATTTACAGGAAGGTATGCGTTATTGACATTGTAGTCCAGCCACATGACGTGTGTGCGATGTGGGTAGGGTCTATTTCGGGCTGGCCGTGAGACCGTCTGTCTATACGCTCATTCATTGGGCTCAGTCATAGTGTATCTTGTACGAATCTCTAAACTCTAAAATTGTGTGTAACGTGAAGGTAAAGTCGAAAGCTCGCTTTTCAAAGCGCGATTTACACATTACGAAGAGACCTAAGGACTACTATTATTAAAAAAAATTGTTTGAATTTTCCACATGTCGTGGTGATTTAAAGTACACATAACACTGAAGAAATCGAGAGTTAAACTCACCTTGTGGTTTCGGGGCGTCAACCCCACTTGGGAGCCCATTTCTGCTAATATATTCTTCGGCATTTTGACACTGGTTGTAGGCAACTCTCGAACGGAATAAATCGAAAAATCGCGGTTAGTTCACTTTGTTGATGTACAGGTAGTACGCGAAGTGCGCGGCGTGCACACAGAGAGACGAATGAGCGCGCGATTGCGCCCGCGCAATTTTATAATGTTTAGCCGGCGCGTCGTGCAAATGACGTGTGACGTCATGAAACTTATATGCTTGTTAGTTTGACGCCTGTTGGACAACGAACCTACCCTCGGGTGACTTATTAACAACACGGTGCCGTAGTTGGTTTTGAAATTGATTTGTTTTGGGCGACATGTCAGTTATTTTGGACGATTCTTATATTACATTAAATTGAAACCTCGCATCCTAACCCTTATTAGCAATACAATACATTCAGTATAGTATACAGAATGTTACCATCACTGATGAACCACTATAAGTTATTCTTACAGGTAGTGTCTACTAGAACTTTGTAGGTATTCGGTGGACATTTTAAATTTATGTAATTTATACACTAAAAAGTCTACTATGTAAAACTCAATGCGCTTTCTTTTTTGGGCTTTTACTGCTTTGGTTTAATTGATCTGAGTCTTCTTTATTGAGTGTGGGTTTGGGATCCATCCTATTGTTGGACGCGTATGGTTGTCAAATATCTCATCTTTCCCAGAGCCAGTTTCGCGTAGATAGGTCCAGAGGGAGAAATTACATAAATCCTTTATCAATTCAATTCACATGGTCCTTCACATCGTGACCTAACATTTATAAATATGCTTGAGGATTTAATGGCTGCAACTAGTGCGGCAGCCAAGTCCTGGTTACAGTAACATGGTGTGTACCAGAAGAGGAATTTAAATCCATAAACATGATTTGTTTCTTTTTCGATAATATTTTATATTAGGCCTCGAGGAGTATAGCTGCATGCAAAACCGAAGTTATTCAAGTAATATCTGTTATCTCGTTTGGTTTCAATATGCAACTGTACTTAATTCGTACAAAATAAAGATTGCAGCGACATGTATAGACTACATCGACAAAGTTGCGGATTTGCGGTGGAAGGCACAAACAACAAGAGGTGAAGTCGGCCAGCAGATTAAGTTTAAGGAGACTGTTATCATGGCTGCGGCATCACAGTACATTTACTGAAATATTATGTAAATAATTTAATTAAGAAAGAAGGTGTCCGTAATAATAAACTTAGAACTAAGTCCAAATTCATGATGCCACGAATTCGTTTAACTAATGTAAATGATACTGTAATAAGATTCCGGAGAACATATTAAGGTTATAATTTCCCAACTTTAAAACCTACATTAAACATATTTTAAATACAAAATTGAAGACTACGTGTTAGATAAGGATGTATGGAAAGACGACATAGGTCTAGATTCCACACAAGTCTGATTCAAAGAGTGTATTCCGTAGCATTTAAGTTCATTTGAAAACAGCAATCCCTGAAGGTTCTTGCTCGTTCTTCACAGGGAGGTCAGCACAGTGAAAGAGACTTTTAAGTGTAAATTTGTTTTACCTGTGGAACAAATGGATTATTTTACTTTGGCTGTAGACGATGATGATGACTTTATTTTTCTATAGTGCATTTTGTGTTACATGTAGTACGTACTTAGGTATATGTTTGCTAGTTTGTAAGATAATACATGCTAAAAGTGTGGTAGTAGCCCAGTGGGACAATCGTTGTCCTCGTTGCTCCTCATTGTGAAGTCGACAGATCGAATGCCTTTAGCAGGATGTGAATATGACTTTGTTTTCCAAATTAAGTACACTGTCTATGTTTAGTACCAAAAGTGAAAGGACGCCGTGACGTAATCTGTATGTCGAACAGGATTATATACCTATTATTAGGAGACATTATCGTAGTCAACTCAAGTGCCTTCCCATTTGTCTTCGCAGTAATTTGCATATTGTCTCTGTTGTCTTCAATATTCTACATAACCCTTCGTCTTCCGAGTATCTGAAAAGCGTTTCATCTTTCTTCGGTCTCAGGACAGACCCTGTCGCTCTCTCGTTAGGTCCCAGTTACGTTTTCCGTCCTTCAATTCCAGTTTTTATTCTCACTCCTTCACTGTTCTTGCGATCAGACTTTGGAACGCACTTCCTATTCTGTTCACGAAAGTACATCATTTGTTACTTTTAAATTGAGAGTTAAGGAGCTATATTTATATACTGTTCCGTCCTGTTTATAGGTATTTTGTTATAAAATATGTGTTGATCTAGTTTATAATAGTTAAATGTTATTAAATATTGTATTACATAATTTTGTTTTTTGTGCACGTAAGCCCGATACGGTAGTTATTTTGTCCTGTATTTATGTAGATCTGCAGCAGGAAATTTCTTATAGAAATAAGCAGTACCTTTTATTTGTGTTTTCCTTTTATTGAATATAATCTGTGCTTTTTCCTGTGCAATAAATAGTATAATAGTAATAATAGGATTCTCAGCCATTGGAGAATGTGCGAAGTACCCACACGCCATTGGACCAGGGTTGTGGACTGTGGCCTAATGCGCCGAGAACGCGCTGCATGTGCGCTGCGCGCGCGCTGCACGATGTATATAAGCGGCGCGCATGTGGCGCGCGAACGGCATGCGACCAGATCGCATAACGTAATGCACCAGATCTGTACGCACCCTAAATCATCTTGGCGGAGGAGACCCGTGCTCAGCACTTTTAAACGATCGTCTTCATCAATAGAACAACCGGTTGCAATGGCAAAAGGTTTTGTAACGGTCTGTAGGTATTCTTGTTTCAGCATTTGGAATTAAAGCTGGTCACAATCCACTAAATAATATCTACATTTTATCACTGGTATGGAAGTCTCACCCCACTGCAATTACGGTAAAAGAATAGAAGACTTGATTAATATATTAATGGAGTAAGACCACACTGCTGCGGCTGACCGCACTTGGACGTAAAGGAGACAAACCTTTTTCACGAGACAATTCACATATAGTAGCCAAAAACATTTATAACCTATTCCATTACAAATCCATAAATACTCCTAATTGACCACGCAAATTGAGATTTCCAATGAGGCATATATAAACATCATACAGTGAGAAAACAAAAACCAACTGCATTATAAGCGTTAAAGAAAACAACTGCCACTAATTTATTAGTTTATTATTGATAGGAACGTGAACTGCATATTATATGTATTATTATTGCAATACGTACACAACCTAAGCCTAACCATGAACATAATTCCGATACACAGTCGATTACACGTGAGCATAACATTCAGTGACAGAGTACTATTAGGTGTAAAAACCCCTTTTTGCGACGTTAACTATTATTGGAAAATTATGTTTGTTCCACTTTTACAACAGCTAATGAACGAATCGTCTTTAAACTTGGCCATGGCAAGGGCCTAGTTACACAAATAAAAAGTTTTGAATATATAATTCGGAGCTTCTGTTGTGCCGATTCTGGTGACGGTTGTGACATTGCGCTTTCAAATCTCGAAATTTTCCAGATATCTCAGTTTTTAACTGACGATTCTTGGCATTGATGATAAAGAAGATGGAATTATAAGTTCAGTTACAATCGGCTGTATAAAGGACCAGGTGAGTTAAACAATAAGTAACGATGTTACTATAAAAATAATATTAAAACTGCCTCCGTGGCCGAACGGTTACCGTGCCGATTGCCACGCAGAGGTCCTAGGTACGATCCCGGGAAAAATATTTGTACGGCCGACATTTATTTCTCTCGTGAGTTTGGTTGTGTGTCCATGGCACCCGGGACTCAGGGTTTCCTAAAAATCATTTGTTGAAAGTTTGATACTGATTTTTTTCCAACACACACTTGTTAATTGTGCAACACATTTTATGATTTTAATTAACATTTCTTCTTGTGAAAATAACAGTCTCTCTCAGCTACGTTCATGCATTTCACTGGAGGCGACTGTACTGTTCCTAGCATCGTTGTAGCTAGCACAGGTTTTTCCTACTTAGTTTCAGAACCCGTAAACCAAATATTGTCACTCTTGTTAATGTATTTTTAATTTTAATGGCTTATTGATATATAAAAGCATTAATGATGAAAGTGAAAACCAGATTTAATTTGGTAATTTTGGTATACTGCCTAGTTATTCTCCCTAGTTATTATCTTCACGTGCATAATAGGCGTATAGGAAAAGCCCTCTTAAAATATCTTTCTACTTCAGTTTTCTACTACATTTTTTAAACACTGTTTGAACACTTTTTTGCACGAGGTGCTCACTTATAATTAGTTACGCAATTAGACTAAGTTTTGAAATGAATGTATTTTCAAGTACATGAAATATAAATTATATATATGTAGTGAACGATTCAAGTGACTAATCTAAGCCTCGGCATAGGGCTCATATGTGTTACATTAATTTTAAGATTTATGTATTATAAGATAAGAAGACAATAATTATATTTAGTATGGAGTACAAGTTATAGTATAAGCTATAAAACGTGGACAGGGTAACTGAAAATAAAAGAAAAAAGCGAATGTGAAGGAGTAAGGAGTTGTGTGGTTGTACAATTGTAGCTGAAAGGATGTTTTTGCTTATTTTTGCTTATTGTTTTACTTTCGGTTGATTCCGTGAGCATTTTGTAATCTAAATTATATTAATAAAATCGTATGCGTGGTTTATTCACTTATAAAAACCTTACGACGAATTTTCACTGTTACCGTATCGTATACAGTTTGTAAGTTACATAATTGACTACTTAACAATTTATTTCTTAATTATTTTTTTAAAATAATAAAAATATCAACCGAGAACCTATTATAGATTCTCACAATTAGAAATATTATAATAGGGACTCTGGGTACACAGCCTAGTCTACCAAACTTATTATATAAGACATAAAAAAACGACAGCAGTTGTAAGCTTCGTTAAGAGTCAAAGAAGTGCTCACTCACGTGCATATAAAACGTTACAATTATTACTTGCATGCAAACCAAGTTACGCACTTTAATTAGTACAGGCCGGGGGTTCTACCCGAGTTGCGTATTGTTTTTAAGATACGCAGAGGGAACTCTCAGTGATACTTGTTATGGCAATTCCGGTAATAACTCCGGCAATAATGTAAAGTTGTGTTTTTGTACATAAAACAAT